GACAAGGTTTCCTGTACTACCCTCCTCACGGGTCTAAGTGAACAAGGTCTCTATTCCTTTTGTTGCCCGTCGTTTCAACCACTCTCGAAAAGTGCTTTCACTTCTGTTTGTTCTCCTGTTCAAACGTGGCATCAACGACTTGGTCACCCCCATCGGCTACTTTTAAAGTCAATGTTATTAAAATATTCTCTTCCTGTTTCAAATAAATGTTTGTCTTTTCCTTGTAATGGTTGTCGCAATGGAAAATCCTCAAAACTATCTTTACCATTATCAAATTTTAAAATACCAGTATTCTAGACCTTGTCTTTTGTGATGTATGGGGTCCGACTCCTATTACCTCTTCTAATGGTTATCATTACTTTCTACTTTGTGTTAACCACTTTACCCATTATATTTCCATTAAAACAAAAATATGATGTCTTTGCTACTTTTAAACACTTTCTTGCATTGGTTGAGAGACAATTTGATACCAAACTCAGATCTATCCAAAAAGTTTGGGGTGGAGAATTTCGACATCTTTCTCAAATTTTCTCTCCACTCGGTATTATTCATCGACGCTGTTGCCCACACATAAGTGAGCAAAACGGCTTTGTTGAACGTCGTCACAGACATGTCGTTGAAACCGGACTTACATTGCTTGCTCAATTTGGTGTTCCATCAAGGTTTTGGCATTTTGCCTATGATAACGTTGTTTACCTCATAAACCGTATGACATCTCTCACCTTGTACAATACCTCACCCCTTGAGCATGCCCTCTCTCATAATCCAGATTATTCCTTCCTATGTGTACTCGGTTGTTTATGCTACCCTCATCTTCGTCCCTACAATAACCAAAAAATGGATTTTCGTTCCACTCCTTGTCTGTTCTTCGTGTATAGTACCAGCCACCACGGGTACCGATGCCTTGATCCACAACCGATCGTATATATATATCTCAATACATATCCGGTTTAATGAGCATACATTTCCTTTTCTACAAACCTCAACTACACCAGCTACAATCTCTTCCTCCAATCCTTATGTATCGAGTTATCCAAACCCTACCCTATCCACTAACTCTGAATCTATTCCTACTCCAATCCATCACACCGTCTCTGAACAACTCCCTATCGAACAACCTCTCCGACTGTCCCGAACAACCCTCCCCGACAATCTCCTCCTGAATAACCTTCTGTTATTGTTCCATCTCACCCGAACAGCCGGCCGTTGTTGTCCCCATGCATAATGATCAATCTCACACTCGTGCTTCCCCATTGAACCTCCGACAAAACCCAAAAAATGAGTTCTTTATGATCCTACAACCTATACCACAACTTATGTTGTCTCCTAGATTGAGCCTACTACCTTCATTGTTGCTAACAAGTCACCAAGGTGGAGGGCTGCCATGACAGATGAATACTCCGCCCTCATATGTAATGCCACATGGTCTCTTGTACCACCCGTTCCAAATGCAAATGTGGTTGATCGTAAATGGGTATACAAACTTAAACGAGATCAAACATGTGCTGTCACTCGTTACGAAGCATCTTTAGTTGCCAAAGGATTCAAACAATAACATGGTATAAACTATCATGAGATCTTCAATCCAGTTGTCAAATCTACAATAATCCATACGGTTCTATCTATCGTTGTTACCCGGGGTGGACATTACGACAATTGGATGTTCAAAATGCCTTTTTGCATGGAGAACTAAAAGAGACAGTTTATCTGCGACAGCCACCAGGTTTCATCAACCCAACAAAACCATATCATGTTTGTTTACTCCACAAGTCCTTATATGGGCTCAAACAGGTACCCTGTTCTTGGTATAATCGCCTGACCTAAATCCTACAAGCTCTTGGATTCAAAGGATCACTCACCGATCCTTCTCTCTTTGTTTATGTTTCTAATGGTACTATTCTCTACATGTTGGTGTATGCTGACGACTTAGTTCTCACTGGTAACAACTCCAATGTCATTGCTCGCGTTATCAAAAGTCTTGGTTATACATTTGCAATTAAAGACTTGGGTCTTCTTTCCTAGTTTTTGGGAATTGAAGTAGTGCGAAAACAAAAGGATATGGTTTTATCCCAAAAAAATATATTATGGAATTGCTTCAACAGGTAAATCTCTCTAACGCCAAACCAGTACTGTCTCCCATCACTACCACTGTTGATTTGAAACTTGGTGGCAATGCCTTATGTCACTCTATCCCGTCTAGACATTACTTTTGCAGTCAACAAAGTCTGCCAGTTTATGAATTCCCCAACTGAAAATCATTGGTCTGCAATCAAACGCATACTTCGATATCTTCAGGGCACTTCTGACCGTGGTCTTCTTATTTAACATAACTCTGGTGCTATTCTTCATGCTTATACTGACACTCACTTTCCATCTTTGAGTGCCTACTCGGACGTAGACTGGGTTGGTTATCCTAATGACCGTCGATCCACTGGGGGATATGCCATCTATCTTGGAAACAGTCTTATTTCTTGGTCTACTAGAAAACAACGCACTGTATCTAGGTCATCTACAAAATCCAAGTACAAAGCTTTAGCCGATACTGTAGCTGAACTCACCTGACTTGAATCGCTTCTTTGGGAACATAAGGTTTCTATGACATCTGTTCTGGTCTTATGGTGTGACAATTTGGGTGCTACTTACTTATCAACTAACCTTGTCTTTCATGCTAGCACAAAACATTTCAATTTGTTAGAGAAAAGGTTGCTGATGGAAAACTCAATGTGTAATTTATCTCTACACATGATCAGATTGCATACATTTTTACCAAGTTTTACCGTCTCAACGATTTAATGATTCACGGTCCAAGCTTCAGCTCGTTACCCGACCTTAGCTTGCAAGGGAATATTAGACAGTGTATAATACAATAATAGGAGGATACAGAGTGTAATTTTGTATCTTATATATACATTCGATGTAATCAATATTATGAATATACAGTTATATAATCCTTACCAAGTTTAACTTTTACCAAGCCACCACAACCTAAGTCGTTTACAAAGCATGATTATAATTCCATTAAAATTAAAATGTAGATGAACTAATACATAAACGACTTCTAATCGATAGGATACGTATTATGCGAACAGCTAAGGTTGGTATCAGTGAATATGATAAACAAATCATTATAAACTACATCATGTATATTTTTTATGGCAATATAGTAGCGGATAGTGGATAGTTGGAAATAAAGTTTTAGTTTTTATTTGTTATACGAGTGTTTGACAAAAGTAGCTGAAAGTTTTTGAAATATATAAAATTAAATAAAAGGACAATTATTTAGAAAAGATAAATATATAAGTATATTTTTAAGAGCAATTATGGAAATTGATTAAAAAATCTCAATATTTTTTCTAAACGCAAACTTTTAGATTTATAGCATTTTGTTTAAATTAAAAGTCAAACGTTCGTACTACCAAACAAAGTTTTTTTGTTTAAGTCAAACCAAGTTAAAAGCTACAAGCTCACAAGCACTCACTGTCAAACATGTCGGTTGCAACATTGTTGATGATGTGTAATCAAACTGTCTTAGATAGAAACAAACCAAAAATAAAATTTAACAATTTAATAAATATAATGTACTTAATTATATGAAAAATGAATGAGCTTAATAAAGAAGTATTTTAAGTAAAAACTAATACGAGATGATTGACATTGAAATTAAAAAAAAAAAAAAAAAACACACACACACATTTTTTATATGTATCCTGTATCCAGAAATAAAAATAATGGTCCTTGCTCTCTAAAAAAGCAAAGGGAGGATACAGAAACACGCTTCAACTGCTACATTGAATTATTATTTTGTAGAAGCAGGTCGCCACTGATTTCTGACAAGATCATTGCTGTTTTCAATTGCAAGTCCTTGGTCGTATTAACTTTTTCTAATAGAAATATTTAATATTTTTGAATATAGGATAAAATGAAAATGATTTTATCCTTTTTAATATTTTCTTAATGATGAGAATCATATATTTTGTTTTCATTTATTTAAAAGCGGGTAACGGTATGGGCATTCCGCCTAAGTACGTAACCAAATTTATGTTAGTATTACACTATTACCCACTTTTAAATAAGATTATAAAAATATATATGGATTTAAATACTGAAATAAGTTATAATATTTCATCAACAAGGTATTGTATATACTATTAATTGTTAAAAAGTTGGTGAACAGGAACCTTTTGAGATTTTGATTTCTGCCATAGATTTTTATGGGTTTTAAACATTTGCCACAAAATTTTTTAAATGTTACACTTACCTCCCTTATTATCTTCCACCGCCTTCCTCATCTTTATGTTTCCACCGCCTTCCCTCACGAATCAGATGCAAGAAACCCTTCTCCATTTCGACCTAGCGGGTCTTCTGTCTCATGCTTGGTTTTAAGTGAAGCTTATCAGCAGCTCTTGTATCTCTATCAACCTCTCCCTAATTGGTGAACCATAATAGAAGTGTTAGTCCATGTGTTGAACCGTTTCATGCCCCAAACCTTGCCACCGCCATTATTGGGACATGTGGGGATGAGTCTTCCCACCGCCTCCAAGAAAGCTAAGAAATTAAACATTTTGGTACAGAGGCAGGGTTTACGTTGTCGCCGCCGATGTTCTCGGGACACCGGCTGCTGCTCCATCTCTTCCTCTACGCTTAAACAGTAGGTTTTATGACCGTACCTTCACCCTTGCTTATGTGTATCGTTTGGGTTTGATTGTTTTCCTTAATTGCGCCATTTATGTGATGATAGAATTTTGTGTTTCTTCAGAAGCAATCGGAGCTGTCTCTCGTTCTAAAATCTCAACTAATCAGACCTCTTTACTCTAAAAACCTCCGGAATATGGCGTTTCACGGACGCGGGGATGACGAGGGAAATAGATAAGTAACAGCAGGTAGGTTGTCAATTTTACTTCTTCACCTATGCAAAAATTAGGTTTTATCACCATTTTCTCTGTGATCTAATTTAGGAAGTGGTGAATTTGATGGTGTTAGGTCTTGCAATATATGATACAATGCAATACATTCGATCTCCGATCAATACAATATGTTTAGGTCAAGCTGCATCAATGGCTTCTTTGCTGTTGGCTGCTGGTGCAAAGGGTGAAAGACGATCTCTTCCTAATGCCACCATCATGATTCATCAACTTTCCGGTGGATACAGCGGGCAGGCTAAAGACATGGCCATTCACACGAAGCAGATTATTAGGGTTTGGAAGTCTTTGAATGGGCTTTATGCAAAGCATACTGGACAAAATGTTTCTGTGATTCAGAAGAATATGGATAGGGATTGTTTTATGACTCCTGAAGAGGCGAAAGAGTTTGGGATTATAGATGAAGTGATGGATGAGAGACCCTTGACTTTGGTTACTGATGCTGTTGGATGTGAAGGGAATGGAGTGAAATTGGATTGAATCGAATGCAGGAAGTGGAGTTACTTTATTGATAAAAAAATCGATGTTTTATCTTAATTTATAGTAGTTTTACTTATCAGTTCTTTCATTTGTAGGATCACAAGTGCCCTACAACAGGATTTATCAGAAGCTAATATAATGTGCAAGAGTATGCCAATATTCCATACTTTAATTGTTTTTTCATAGTTTTAAAACTAACAGTAAATAACCGCTTTGTGATAGATTCTTGAAGGAAAGTAGACATTTCATTTGATGAATGATGAAGAAGAAGAACATTATCTGAAATAAGTTGGAAGTGGGCTTTGTTTTCAGACCCAATTAAGCATAAGTAAGTTAACATAAAACTCACTTTCTCTCTCCAGTGAAGCAGTCCATGTATGTATATATACATGACATTGTATCTATATGTCCAAAAGAAAGGAAAATATTTACAGTTAAATAAATCTTTCTTCCCTATTTTATAACTTATATGAATGAATTTTTATTTGATTGATTCAAGTTCGATCTTGAGGTTGATGTACCTTGCAAGGTGATTTCACTTTTTTTTTTTTTGAATTTTCATCATGTTGTCTCGACTAATTGAATTTGTTGTTCTTTGTTTTGTTTCAGGCCAACCATATATCAAGTGGTGTAGGAAATGGTTGATAAAATAGGCTATAAAGTAAGGTCCTGTTTTTTTTTTAAAATTAAATATTGTATGGATAAACTGTTGAGTAATATGTTTTAGGGGAGTTTTCTGAAAGTCATTGTCATTGTGGTGTCGTAAATTCATCACAGTTGGGAACCACATGTAATTTCCTAAAATACCCTCATTTATTTTGTTGTAGTGTTCGATTGATTAAATTACAGGGATCACTTTTAAAGATTTGTAGAGCTTTCAAGAATAATTTGTCTGGTTCAGAAAGATAAAAAGAAGGTTCAATTTCATTGTTTTTTTTTTTTTGAATTTTCTATTTGCATACTTTCAGTTTTGGTCTCATTAAGTGAGCTTACCATCCGTTGCTTTTAGATACTTTTTCACCAACTTAATTGACATATCATTCAAATCAATTTATTGAAAGATTCTTTTATTTTTATCTAACCCGTCTTCAAAGGGCAAGGGTTGATTATACGTTTTGTAAGGTGAAAAACCCATTTTGTCAACTATTTTGGAAATTGATTCGGTTTCCTTGAATGAAAGTTTAAGAGATTAATTTTGAGATCGTTAATGCTGATGGAGGTGATTGCATCTAGAACAGGGCACGACTATAGTTTTGCTTCAAGAAAAGCCCAACAATTCTTGAAGCCCAACAAGCAGGTATATATATAAATTTATATATGGTTTTTATATTTTTTTTCCTAGCTTGGAGGAGGTCTGAAGGTACAAAATGGCTTGAGAAGTTGACGAAGGCAGATGGTCTGAAAAAATCGTATCCCGGTAGGCATTCTCTCATTTTTATGTAAATGACTGAAATACCCTTTGCCCACTGTTGTGATGCGCTGTGTATAAATTATAAAATTGGGGTTATGATCGGGTGCAGCATACGGTGGTTCTGTAGATATTGTTTCTTCTGGTCGTGGCTTGCAACAAATGGTAAATCATCTCAAAACATTTTTACTTTTTTGGTTCTTTTCTAGGGTAAAATACAGTAAATAGCAACATACTTTCAATGATTTGTTTGTCATATGAAGACCCCTTATGTATATGTAATATGTTTTGATTAATATTATACTATGTTCTACCATTTGGTACAACTTGAAATAAGGAAAAAAAACAAACACAGCGCCAACGACGCGCATGATTCCCCTCTAGTTACATATAAAATAATACTATAATTGATACCCTTCATAAAAAAAGAATTTGATATTATGCAGTAAGAAAAAATATGATACATTTGAATTTTTTTCTAATCCCTATTCTAAAAAAAGAATAATTTTAATCTCCTTTTGACATGTGTCATTCAAATACAACTCCGCATTAATATTAAGCCACATGTCAATGAGATATATTAGGCAACATTTCAAAATTCAAATTTACCTTTTCTAATTATATGTTAAATTTTGATATATCTCTTAATTAATAATTTATTTAAAATAATTGATTAATAATTTATGAATTTTTACTATGAAAGTTGAATTAATTTTATAACTCGTGGTTCTCACAGGTTATAAACTAGTATATAATAAACATGGCAAAACAAAAACAAGTTCGGTCCCATAACAATTGGGTATAGAATTATAGATATAGAGAATTACAATTTACAACTCAACTCTTAACATTTTTTCAAAATAAAATTGATGAGATTTATGAAAATTTTGTTTTATAATTGACCATTTGTTCTTTAGATTATGGTGAGTATAAAGTTTATATCTTCTCTTTAGTTCTTTAGATCTCTTTATTTGTGGTTTTTGATACTTTTGGTTCATTTTATGGGTGATCTTGGAGTTGAGTGGACTCAAAAATCTTTTGATCAGTTTGTAATGCCTCTTGGACCTCATAGACTAAGAAAGTTATGATCTTTTGCCTTCCCTTTTATCCATGCAAGTTATCTTGGTCATATAGGTCATTTTGGTGTATTAAAGTTTAGATGATGAAAGTTTGAGACATTATTATGTATAAAGTTGGAAACTTTATCCATCTAAACATCATGTTGATTCAGATATGAAGGTTGGAGACTTAGACTTATTGGCTTAAGTTGAGAAAGATGCATTCTTGGTCCCTTTGAGACTTAGAGACTAGATTTTGGTTGTTTGGACCATCCTAATGGATAAATTTGAAAAATTTATCCATTATGAAGCTATTAGGAACCACATCTGATGATATGAGTTTTGGTTTTTAAGGGTTAAGCTCTTAATGTAGAAAAATCTTTCTGACCGAAACCACGACGTAACCAAGGAAGACCCACGACGTGGTGGCGCGCTGCAACACGTCTGTTTTGTCTGGACGTGACCACGACATGTCAAAGGAATTGCCACGATGTGGTCGTCATATGAGTTGACTTTAGCCGTTGACTTTTTGACAAATTTGACTTTTGGTCAAACTTGGGTAGAATTGAGCATTTGACTAAGGAATGGTCTCGGTTTGGCTTTAGGAAGTTTGGGTTGGCTGTTCTGTTGTTGAGGTAGCTGTTGTAACATTCTGTTTAAAATAAAATAAGTAAATAAATAAATAAATGAATAATAATCCCTAAAACCCTGAGATGTATTTTTATATTTTTATGTTTTTATATTTTTTATATTAGCCCTAAATCCGTAATAAATTATTAGAGTATTAGCGCAAGGAGTTTAATGTTATTAATTCTGGAAATCGGGGGTTAAAGTGTAACTTCCGGATTGGTTATGAATAGATTTTTGGATGCTGGGGGCTGTTTGGTAATTTTTGGACATGAATTGAAAGGATTTTTGGAATCAAAGGCTATAGATTAAATTGCGGACTTAATTTGGAAAAGATTGGCGAGGGAGGTAATGAAATTGGAATTTCGGCATAAGTTTGAATAGAGACGAGTTAAGACCCGTCACCCTCCTCTTGTTCTTTCATATGAAACACATCCTCCAAACCCTAACCCTAAATCATTTTTCCAGCCGCCACCTTGTCTGTTCTGTTGTTGAGGTAGCTGTTGTAACATTCTGTTTAAAATAAAATAAGTAAATAAATAAATAAATGAATAATAATCCCTAAAACCCTGAGATGTATTTTTATATTTTTATGTTTTTATATTTTTTATATTAGCCCTAAATCCGTAATAAATTATTAGAGTATTAGCGCAAGGAGTTTAATGTTATTAATTCTGGAAATCGGGGGTTAAAGTGTAACTTCCGGATTGGTTATGAATAGATTTTTGGATGTTGGGGGCTGTTTGGTAATTTTTGGACATGAATTGAAAGGATTTTTGGAATCAAAGGCTATAGATTAAATTGCGGACTTAATTTGGAAAAGATTGGCGAGGGAGGTAATGAAATTGGAATTTCGGCATAAGTTTGAATAGAGACGAGTTAAGACCCGTCACCCTCCTCTTGTTCTTTCATATGAAACACATCCTCCAAACCCTAACCCTAAATCATTTTTCCAGCCGCCACCTTGTCTCTCTAACTTCCAGCCGCCACCACCACTTCCTTGACTCCGCCTTGAACCGTCGTTGCACCAGCCGCTGACAAAGCCAAGGATTGTCAAAGACGACGTGGTGGTTGCTATTGTTGTCATCCTCGATCACACTTCTTTTTCTTCGTTTCCTTCTGTTGATGCATCATCTTCCGTTAGCGCTATCGCTGCCTTTTCGTCGTCCCTCCGGGCCGCCGTCCTCCTCCGACGGTGAGGTTGCTGTTACATTTTCGTGTGTGTGTGTGTTGCTGCTGTAAAACCCTCATCTCTTCTCTATTTCGTCTCTGAGATGCCAAACGTTCGTCCAACCGTCGTTGCCATGCGACTGTCGCCTATCAATCTCCGACCACCTCCTACCACCACGAGGGTGGCTGTTTCGTGTGTGTTTTTTTAATGTGGGTGTGTGTTTGTGTGCGTGTTACAGTGTATGTCATCGTGTGGATGTTTGTTGGCCATGAAACAATGGGAAAACCCACCATGACAGCCGACCATGGTGGCTGCCACCGTTTTGCCGCCACTGACCACCACCTTGGGTGGTTGTGTGCGTATGTATGTTTTGGATGGATGTTTGTTTGTATCGAAATGCTTTGATAATGTTTTGGTTAAAAATTATAAACTACCATCATAAAAAATGGTGGTTGCCGCCTCCCGCCGCCGTGGACCGCCGCCGACCACCACTTCCCGAGGTGGCAGTGGGTGGTGCCCGATTTCTTAAATATATATTTGTTTAATTAGCTATCCGTCTAACTTTAGGAATTAGAAACCCTAATTAGGGTTTAGAAAACCCTAATGTCAAGAAACCCTAGTTTTTGGAGTTGGTCGGGACCCGCGTTAAAACTATTAATTAAACTTAAAATAATACTTAATAATTATCTACAATTAACTTAATGGAATATTGGAATTAATGGATTAAGTCCTTAAG